TTTCACCAACAAGAAACAACAGAAATCTCAACAAAAAGCAGCTGAAGCTACATACAAAGATGGTGCTGGTAAGAAACAGGAAAAGGGTGACTGTCATCATGGATGCTGCTGCCAGAAAAACAGAATAGAGACAACTTGTCAGATTTGCCATAAGAAGGGAGTACTATCACCATGATTAAACAGTACATTATTGATGGTGAACTCAAGTTAGCAAATGTATCAACAGTGCCAGTGGGGATCAGAGCATGTGACAAACATCAAGAGGTACCAACGAACTACAACATACCAGGAAGTACTATCACCATGATTAAACAGTACATGATTGATGGTGAAGTCAAGTTAGCAAATGTATCAACAGTGCCAGTGGGGATCAGAGCATGTGACAAACATCAAGAGGTACCAACGAACTACAACATACCAGGAAGTACTATCACCATGATTAAACAGTACATGATTGATGGTGAACTCAAGTTAGCAAATGGATCAACAATGCCAGTGGGGATCAGAGCATGTGACAAACATCAAGAGGTACCAACGAACTACAACATACCAGTAGGTGAAGGTTATGTCGGGGCCAAGAAAGTGAAAGTCCTGTGAGACACTGGGTGCAGTAGTGCAGCACTGAAAATCAGTCTATTATCTGATGGCTAGATGATGGGCAAGGTACATCTGTATGTGCTGATTGATGGGACAGTGAGAAAGTTTCCCATAGCAAGAATAAAGATGAACACTTCATAATACATGAGAGATCTTGAGGTCATCTGTATGAAGGCACTCATCTATCACTTGGTGATTAGCAATATCCCAAGCAGTAGAAGCCTGGAGGAACCAACCAGAAAGTAGATTTATGAGGCATCTCAAAGAGCATGCTGAAGAAGATGTGTTAGAAAGACCACGTGAATGTGACAGGTACCTGCAGGCAGTATTATTTGGTATCTGAGAAGTTCCACAAACGAGTACAAGATTTTCACTGCTTGAGTTAGTGTATGGAAGAACAGTACAAGGTATGATGCAGATAGTGAAAGAACCTTGGGAAGGAAAAGAAGAGTCAGAAGTGAGGAACATACATCATTTCATGTTAGACCTCATTAACTGACTGGAGGAAACCTGTCTACTTGCTCAAGAAAGTTTGTATGTAGCTCAAGGCAGTCAGAAGCAATTCTATGACGAGAAGGCCAAAGATCAATGTTTCAAATTCAGAAGAAGGTCTTGATTCTGCTACCCACAGACAACAATAAACTCATCCTGCAGTGGAAATAACGTTTTGAAGTGCAGGAAGTTGTGAACAAAATGGACTATGAGGAGAAAGTGGATGAAAAGACCAAGATTTACCATGTTAATCTGTTGAAGAGGTATTTTGAGAGTGTAGAAGACCTAACATGTGCAGCTATTGAGGCACAGATATACATTCCACATGTGTCCATCATAGATGCTGAACAGAAGATTGTGACTTTGTCATTGAAAATGAAGACCTATTTGACTGGAGACCACTGAATGCAGATGAGAAACACAAAGACATCACCATCATTGAAGAACTACTGTACCAATTTGCAGATGTCTTCACATATATACCAGGCAAGACAGATTTTGGGCAACAAAAGATCAATTCCATGACTAAGGATCCAGTCAAGGTGAAGCCCTACCAAATGCCCTATGTTATGAGAGACCTAATCGAGCAAGAAGTGGAGGTAATGTTAGAAGCAGGAATCATTAAGCCTTTGAATTCAGCCTACTGTTCACCAGTGGTAATTGTGAAGAAGAGGGAAGGCTCAAAACTGCTTCTGCATTCCTTACAATCATATGGGCAACCCAGAGGCTATCATGGCAAAACTAGAGGGGGCCTAGTTTTTTACCCAAATCATCCTCAATAAAGGTTATTTCCAGATCCTAATGGAGACAGACTCTAAAGAGAAAATAACCTTTGTGATACCATATAGATGCTACCAGTTCAAGTGGATGCCATTTGGGTTAGTCAACTCAGCAGTGACATTCCACTGCATGATAAGGAAGATGTTGCACAACCAACATCGAGCATTATTTGGATGACATTCTGACCCACATAGCCAGATGGGAAGACCACCTGAAGAAACTCAGAGAGCTGTTTGGGTGAGTGAGGGCAGCAGGTCTAACCATCAGAACATCTAAATGCTACATAGGTTATTCTGTGCTGGACTGTGTTGGGCACAAGGTGGGCAACTGACACATAGCCATGAAAGAGGAGAAGCTAACCTACATACAAGATACACCAGCTCGGATGACCAAGCAGCAAGTCAGATCCTTCCTGCAGTTAGTGGGATACTATAGGAATCTCATCCCGAACTACTCTGAAGTCGCTGCACCATTGATTGATCTGGCCAAGAAAGATCAACCCAACAAGATGAAGTGGGAACAACCACAGCAGATAACATTCCAGAAATTGAACAAAGTGTTAGAAAGTTTGCCAGTCTATATAATGCCAGACTTCAACAAACCATTCATCATTCAGACTGATGTATCAGACGTTGGAATTAGAGCAGCACTTCTGCAAGAACATGTAGATGGATTGTTTCCCATAATGTATGTCAGTAAAAAGCTGTTGAATAGTGAGAAGAACTACTCTTTGATTGAATGATAGTGTCTTGCCATCTGGAAATTCCAGAATTACCTCTACAGGAAGGAATTCATCATTCAGATGGACCATCAGCCCCTTGCATACATCCAGAGGTGCAAAATCAACAGTGCAAAGATCATGAGATGGGTATTATACCTCCAGAACTGCCAGTTCCATGTTGAGACCATCAAGGGGATTACAAATGTTGGTGCAGACTCTATGCATAGACTTTGTACATGAACTGAAAACAGTCTTTTTATATATACACCTGGAAAAAAGTTAAGCACCCCCAAATATTTTTCAGGATTGCTTATTGAAAATAAGGT